AGGAGATGGATTGTTTATAAATAGAGTTTGTGGAGTTAGAGATATTAATATTTGTTTACCTATATTTGAATATTAGCCTGGGATTTGGTTTGGGAAGTCCGGGGGGGTGGGGGGGTAGGGTTTTTACATTGTGATGTATTTGTGATGTGCTTTTTTTTATGATGAAAATAATAAAAATTTATATTTGAAAAAAAAAAAAGAAAGTAACTCACTTTTTGTCATTTGTAGCATCATCTTATATTATTATTGGTATAAACTTTATAGGAGAAGCTGAAAGGTAACTGAGACTCTGACAGAAATGTCTCCATTAGCATCCAACAGAGCCTGGGTACCGTTCTCTAGTGAAAATCTCTATATACATATAACTGCATGGAAAATAGTCATTGTCCTAACCAACGTGCACTTACCTCCTCTGGCAAACAAAGTTTTGGCATATTCTGGGTGAGTAACAACTACAGCAGAAAAAAAGCTTCCAAACCATCTGGGAAAAGCATAAGAATATTGTTGAGACCACTCCAACATATATTTTAGTTCTTTCTGGCTAGGTATCTGCAAAAAAAAAAAAGAAGAAGAAGAAAAAAGAAAAGGAAAGGAAAGGAAAAAAAAGAAAAGAAAACAAAAGAAAAAATTATGTTTACACTGTAGTTGCAAAGTTGTGTCTTTAAACCCTGGCACTTTTCAGAGTCAGAATATTCATCCACTTAAATCAGCCTGAGTAATATAAACAAAGATAAGAATGTGTAAAAGACACTCATAATACAATGCATACTTAAAGAAAATATAGTATATTCCCTGAATTAGAGAGATGGGCAGCTAGATAAATTTGATATAAATAAATAACTTATTCACTCTTTAGATTACTTTGTGGAACACAGACATCAGAATGAAGTTATTCATCTGACAGAAACAGAGCTACAATCAATGATTTAAGAATATTCAATATTCTTAAAGGGACAATTACAATCTTCAAATGATTTCAAGATATGCTAGCGATTAAACTGTATCAGAAATTCACTGTCTTCTTCTGCCCCATTACCTCCCCATATATTTTACCACTTCTTACCTGATGGATGTTGCCATACAGCCAGTGAGTAGGAGGGCCTGGGAAATTCTTATAAGCCTTAATCTGCTTTTGTCTCATGTGATACAGTTGGATGATTTTAACCAGGACATAAGCAAGACAGAAAGCAGAACCAATGAGTGTGAGCTGGTAGAAACTTGATGTTTTCTCCATCATGAATACTATGAGGCTGAAGCCTCTGCAATGGTGTTACTTCACTGGCTGGGTTTTATAAAGGTATGAATGTCGTCACCAATAAACCGCAAAATGGGTGTTCCTCAAGTGAGTCTTTTGTTGTACCTTGGCCACTTTCACCCGAACTTTCTCAACATTTAATCATTTGCTTGGGAATGAACTCCAGGTAAAGTTTTCAAATTTATAATCTCATCTAACCTTTGCCTTAGAAGTCATTATGAATAAGTATCAGCATATTTCTCCTTCTTTCATCAGTAAACTCAGATGACCTTTTGTAAGATGAATCACACTCTTGGACAGGAATGTCCAACTTTGCCAACTTAAGATCTGACGATTTCAACTCCCAGAATTCTGCAGCCAGCATAGCTACCTGAAGAATTCTGGGAGTTGAAGTCCACAAGTCTTAAAGTTGCCACAGTTGGACACCCCTGATCTAGAAGATCATAGATATGGCTTTACCTACGCATGAATTAAGATACTTGATGGACATTTACTGTAATTGCTTGAAAAAGTTTTATTTTAACTCTGGGGTTTTTCCCTGAAATTTAAATGTAGGCTTGGTATCTAACAGGGAGGTGTTTGTGGAAGCAACTGATTTTTCCCAACGCTGTATCTTTGAGTGCTCGTACATGCTTATCAAAACATGATAAGCAGAAATGATAAGCAGAAAGCATAATAAGCAAAAAAAATGGATGTCTTTGCTACTCGTACCCTTCTGAACCATTCAGGAAGTTAAAGATGAGCAACAAATAAATTTAATAGATAGATAGATAGATAGATAGATAGATAGATAGACAGACAGACAGACAGACAGACAGACAGACAGACAGACAGACAGACAGACAGACAGACAGACAAACAAATCTTCCAGAGTTTGAGCACATCTCTCCAATTCTTTTGCAGTAGTGAACTGAGGAACAGCAACCATTCACCATGAAGATAATTCAGTGAACTTACAGGAAAAGCCTGTTTTTTCTAATTCCCTCCTCCTTCAGGTTCTTTGCTAGCTATGGTCAATAAAGATAAGCCATTCTGGCAAAACTGTTGCCTGCTCATCCAAACGTGGACATTACGGAGCAGGTAAGGAAAGAGGGGGGGGGAGCTGATCTTTTGTGGAAGTGAAGGTAATAAGGCAACCTAAATTCCATTGACGACTCCATATTTCATTACCACATTGAATTGTTAATGTAATAGAAGAGGGAAAACATGAAATAACTGAATATAGATGTAAAATTACATTTTGATCCAATGTTAAAATTATTAATCAAATGAAATCAATATTAATTTGTATACTGGCATGCTGTTGAAAAATAAACTATGGCCCTTAGGCTTTCAAAGTATGGTTATATAACTTCCTTTTGTAAGAATGCTGAGAATGTCTAAGAAGGAGTAGTGGTACTTATTCTTTCTAAATATAACTCTAGAATAACTTTTCCATTAGCCATTTTTTGTTTCTCTGCTTCTCCAAATTTTAGGATGTTGCTAAGTACCTGGACAAAATTTAAAAAAATGGGGCTCCTTTACAGTTCTAAACTGTACTCTTCAAGAAGGTGTGTATTTAATTGAGATTAAATGGTAGGATTTGAAGTTTCTTTTAAGTATTCACATCGGGGCAAATATATATTGTCACTGAACAACATAATGACTACTGTACTGTAATTATATATTCTCATGAGACAACTTTAGTCCACTTGATAGCAGCAGAAAAAGTGTTTTCTTTTTTAAAAGTTTACCTTTCTCAAATATTAAGCCAAGAGAGCTTTCCTAAAATACCTCAAAGTAACTGTCCCAAAAGTGCTTTCTTTCAAAAGACATTTCACTTCTCGTCCAAGAAGATGGTGGAGAATGGAAAGATTTATATTCCTTGCCGTCATCTGGTTATTAGCACTCTTCCTGAGAGTCATTGAGGCCACTTGGAGATGTATCTGTGCCCTCAGGATCACCTGAATAGTGCAATTGGGTGTGGAACCATCTTGGAACTGCTGAAAGGACTGTGTTGTAAAAAAGGAGATAGGGGGTGTCATATTCCTTGCCTCCCCCCCCCATTGAGAGAGGGATGTTCAATCTTAATGTAGATGGCGCCTTTGGCCCCTCTTTCAGACCCCTATCTCTTGTTTACAACATAGTCTTTTCAGCAGTTCCAAGAAGGTTCCACACCCATTTGCACCATTCAGGTGATCCTGAGGTATACTACAGCTGATATGCAGATATGACCTTTTATTTATTTTTCTTTTAAAAATGTAGAATTCATCTTTTAGGGTTAACTTGCTCAAATGATGTATGATTTTAACTAATCGTTTGAAATTATTCTTTTTCATGATTTTTTTTCTTAACATGTTCCGGGTTTTGAAACACGTACAAATTCCAAGGTTCGTAAGGCAACTGTACTGAGTGATACTTGCTGACAATTGCTGGTTTAGCAGACATATTTTAAAGCCCTAAACAGCTTACAGCTTGATTGTTTAAGGGACTGCCTCGTTTTTTAAAAAGAATCTTCAAAGAGGAATTCCTAATTTGGGAGATGTTGAAAACAGTCATTTTTTTCCCCTCATGTGAATATTAGCTAATGTGAATATATATGAAAACAGCAACATGTTTGTCTACTTATGCATGCAACAGAAACTGTTTTCAACTTATATATGAAAAGTAGCTCCAAGGATAGAACTTGTATTTTTACAGACTTGTTAACTTGTGTAATATTTAACTTATGTAAGTTTCATGCCACATTAATTAAAACTGTAAATAACAGAACAACAACTTTTAAAACAAAATGCGATATTTTCAGGGGAACTCTTACTTCACCCAAAGAGAAATTGTGGCACTTCACTTTGAACTTTTGTGATATGTATCAATGTTTGATTAGAGGATTATTATTTACTTATTGTTTACAGGCTGAATAGCCTCAAATCATGTAACACATATAAAGATTTGCATGGATGGCAAAATATATGGGGTCATGTCTTGGATTAGAAAACTGAATCTGTTTTCTATTTATTTATTTATAAAATTTATAGGCCACCCATCTTATCTCATGGTAACTCTATCTACAGTAGAACCTTATCCTGCACCAACACTCATCCTTGATACAGCAAAATTAATAATAGGAATTGAATTAAATCTCTAACAGATCACCAATTAGCAGACCTCAGATACAATGCACCAAATTTCTGTTTGGCATCCCCCCCAAAACAGAGGGAAGTTCCTTTTCGTCTTAAGTAATCCAGATAAGGCAGCTAGAGATATGATAATTAGCAATGATTTATGTCATAGGAAGCAAATTAGGTCATTATACATGTTGTGTCCTGAGCCTGCAGAAGCAGGCTCGGGACGATGCAAGAGTCCCGGGCATTTGCAAAAGCTGCCCGGGACCAGACTGAGCGGCGCCGGCCTTGCGCACATGCGCAAGGCGGGAAAAGACTGCCTGCTATTGGTTGGAATTGCCCGGGGATCCGGGGGTATAAATAGAGGCCTGCGTGCCTCTGTTCTTGTTGGTTGTTAGCTGGAAGAGAGAGAGAATAAAGAGCTGTTAGCAACATGCATTGCCTCCTTCGCCATTATTCTCCGGACTTAACACTGGCGACGAGGATGGGATTTAGTCTAGACAGCTAGGGAAGCTTGAAGACTCACCCAAAAGAAGTCCGGAAGAGGGACGACGGTGTTGAAGTCAGCGTCTATCCTGCCAGTACAGCATCGCTGGAGGGTGAGTGCGGCTGAAGAAAACCCTGTCCCTTGATCATGGCGAAAATCGGTCGCTTATCTGAATTTGATGTCTCTCACCCGGAGAAATGGGAATCTTACGTTGCAAGGGTGGAGACTTACTTCCACGTGAATCAGATAAGGGAAGATGGTCTAAAGGCTGCCACAATGTTGTGCGTTTGTGGGCAAGACACCTTTGAGATCGCCGAGAATCTAGTAGCCCCGGCCTCACTAGAAACTGTTTCATACTCTGATCTGAAGAAATTTTTGAAAGAACACTTCCAGCCCAAGCAATCTGTTATTGCTTGGAGGCACACATTTGAACTGAGAGATCAGCGAGCTGGGGAATCAGCAAAAGAATTTATTGCAGCCTTGAGAAGAGCGGCTAAACCGTGTGAGTTCAAGGATCTAGAAGAAAGGCTGCGTGATCGTTTTGTGTGCGGACTGAGGAACAGAGACTTACAGCAGAAGCTGTTTGCTAAGGAAGATGTCTCTTTCCAAGATGCTCTGCAAGAGGTTATGGCAGAGGAAGCTGCAGGTGGAGCGGTAAAGAATCTGCGGCCCACTCAAAGCGCTCCAGAGACTGCAA